CTCCTGGGGCCCCGGCTGTAGACAAAGAACTATGGCAACTCAAGATGGCTGAGAGTGGGAGGGACAAACAGCCTTCCCCTGGAAGGACCCCCTCAGCTGGTTATCCGATCCCAAGCAGTCAACCCTGAAAACACACACACACACACACACACGTGTGTGTGTGTGTGTGTGTGTGTGTGTGTGTGTGTGTGTAACATTATATGGACTAAACAGGCTATATTTATATATTTAGGAATATATGTCAACAATTTAGAAAAAGAGGCTATGAATTTGAGAGAGAACATGGTGGGGTTACATGGAAGGGGTTGGAGGGATGAATGGAAAGAGGAGAAATTATGTGATTGAACTATATTTTAATTTAAAAAATAAACTATATTTTAAAATAACAGAATAAAAAGAATATTTCCTTGAAGGAAAAGTAGACTAAAAGTAAAACAATGAGGGTCTGAGAGAATGCTCAGCCATTAGAGAATACTGGCTGCCTTTCCAGAGGACCTGGGATTGATTCCGAGTCCAAAGAACAGCTCACAACTTTCTTTAACTCCAGTTCAGAAAATCCAATGCCCTCTTCTCACCTTGGAGGGCACCAGGCACTCACACAGTACAGAGACAGACACACAGACAAACACTCATACACACATAAAATAAAACTTTTTAAATAAAGATAATGAATATATATGTTAATTCTAATTGCTTTTGAAAGCCAGAGTGGCTATGTTAACATCAGAAAAATAGACTTAAGAGAAAAACTACAACCAGGAGTAAAGGACATTTTGTAATGCTCAATCCTTGATACATCTTAAAAGACATAATACTTTCAAAATTTATGAAGCAAAATTTACAGAACATATGAAAAAGCAAATTTATGGAGATCCCAATATCAACAGACAGAAGCTGGAGAGCAATGAAGTATCTGAGTACAGCACACATCAAAGTGACCGGCTGTTCACAGGGCTTCTAGCAGCAGGATATGCATTCAAGTGCAACACAGACGTTGCATGCTCCATGGGAAAGCGCAGCTAAACAATGTCAAAAGAACTCAATCAGACAGTGAATCTTCTCATCCACAAATAAACTAAACTAACATCAGTTAAAACCACTGAAAACTCCTCACATACTTAGAAATTAACACTTTTCAGCACAGATCAAAGAAAAATTTAAAACAGAATTAAAAGTAATCTTGAGGGAGCTGGAGAAATGGCTCAGCAGTTAAGAGCACTGTCTGCTCTTCCAGAGGTCCTGAGTTCAGTTACCAGCCAACATGGCAGCTCACAGTCATCTATAACTATAGTCCCATGGGATCAGATGACCTCCTCTGGTGTGCAGACTACATGCAGACAAAACATCCATGTACATAAAATGCATACATAAAAAATGAATTTTTTTAAAGTAATCTTGAACTGAATAAAAACAAAACATCAGAATTAATCAGATATGCAATGCAGTAATTAAAGAGAAAATTAATAGCAACAAATGCCCAATCAGAAAAGAAAAATATTGTTAGACAGTGGTGGCACACACCTTTAATCCCAGCACTTCGGAGGCAGAGGCAGGAGGATCTCTGTGAGTTCGGAAGCCAACCTGATCTACAGAAGGAATTCCAATACAGCCATGGCTACACAGAGAAACCCTATCTCAAAAAAACAAAACAAAACAAAAACAAAAAAATCTCAAATCAATTCGCTTTCGATGTATAGTTTTTAACTTGAGGGGGGCGGAACTACTCTGAGTAGGGCTGGAGAGATGGCTCAGTGGTTAAGAGCACTGGCTGTTCTCCCAGGGGACCCAGGTTCAATTCCAAGCACCCACATGGCAGCTCACAACTGTCTGTAACCCCAGTTCCAGCAAAGGTCAAGAAATAAAGCATAAAACAACAATAAAAAAAAAAGACAGAAATCTGCTGTGGGATGGTCTGTATGTTAAATTGCTCTGATTGATCAATAAATAAAACACTGATTGGTCAGTGGCCAGGCAGGAAGTATAGGCGGGACTAACAGAGAGGAGAAAGGAGAGAACAGGAAGACAGAGGGAGACACTGCCAGCCGCCACCATAACAAGCCGCATGTGAAGATGCCTGTAAGCCACGAGCCACATGGCAAGGTATAGATTTATAGAAATGGGTTAATTTAAGATATAAGAACAGTTAGCAAGAAGCCTGCCACGGCCATACAGTTTGTAAGCAATAAAAGTCTCTGTGTTTACTTGGTTGGGTCTGAGAGGCTTGTGGGACTGGCGGGTGACAGATTTGTCCTGACTGTGGGCCAGGCAGGAAAACTCTAGCTACAGAAATCCCCCCAAAAAAATCACTGAAACCAGAAGGTTGGCTTTTTGAAAAACTCAAAAATAAACTTCCAGCCAAACTGTTCAAGAAAAGAGAAAGACAGAGAGAGAGAAAATGCACAAATTATCAGAAAAAAAACAGGAACCCTCCCTAGCTTTTATAGGTATTAAAAGAAAATTATTTTGAACAATTTTATAGAAGAAATGAACCTGCCTCAAACAAGAGAGAAAGCACTAACACTAAAGTGTGTCCTCTAACCTGAGCACTATGGCACATGCATGCCTACACTCACCACACACAAACATGCACACATACATGCTCACATAATATGTAGATGCACAGTCCTGAGTGCTAAGTAGATTCACCTCATCATCATGAAATAAATCATAAAATAAGAAAAAAGCATCTACAAAGCCTCTGGAGATATGGAAAGCACAAAACACATTTCCTGTGAAAACTGATGTGGTTTTGATAGAATCCAAAGAAAAAATAATTTAAAACAACCCCTGAGACTATTATTTCCCCCATTCAGACCTTTGGAGGATACATTTTTTTGAGTTCTCAATCTCATTATGCTGTACAGACATTCTAAGACTTTCTAGGACCTCACAGATACCCAAATCTGTGCACTCAATTTCCTCAAGTAAACTCACATACACTCCATATCATCTCTAGATCACTTACAATACCTAATATAGTATAAATCATGTGTGGATCTTTATTGCAATCTATAGTTAGGAAACAATGACAAGAAAAATGTCTGCACATGCTCAGTGCAGACACAAACAATGTATTTTCAGGTCTTTTGAATGCACAGTTCACTGAATCCACGAGTGCAGAGGTTGGTGGCACTGAGCAGCATCTGAAGGTCCTGAGCCTTTTCCATCTCAGTCCACCTTGCTGCACTCAGCTCTCACTCCCAGAGCAGTGTGCAAGTGCCGTGAGCATGTGGCTTGGATGATGGTCTCCATTGTGGAAATGGGGGATTGGGGACAGCTAGAAGAAGTCACTGGGTAAGTTTCACAAGTGTATTGTCTAACCCCTTCACTCCTCTACTACGCGCTCCAACCACCATGATGTTCTACCCAAGTGCAAGGGGACAATGACATGAACTTGATGTTCTAAAACCATGAGCCAAAGTAAGTACTTTCTCTTTGAGTTGTCTGTCATGTGTTTTGACCATAGCGATGCAAGAACTAACACAATAAGTATTAATAGAAATTATAAATTGCTTTAAAGCAGTAAAAATGTATAGTGGCTGACTAGCCTAAAACAACAATAAATATCTAAAACAATTTATTTCAGGAAGCAAAAACAAACTGACATGAGGAGCCTAAGGTTTATAGGCTGTATGAGCAGTGTTCTAGAAATTAGACAATTAACTAATTAGTGGAAAACAGGTTAGTTATTTGACCTGTTCAGAAAAGAACAGCTTGGGGCCAGATGCCTCAGCACATAAAGGCACTTGTCACACAAGCCTAGTGACCTGAGTTCAATCTCCAGATCCCACATAAAGGAAATGACTTACTCCCAAAAGTTGTCCTCTGATCTCCACATGCACAATATGGCATACATAACCCACACACACACATATCAGGCATATGCACATGAAGGAAGGAAAGAAAGGAGGAGAGAGGAATCAGGGAAGGAGGGAGGGAGGTTCTTTTTTAATATTAAAAAAATTATCCTAACCACCTTCCTGTAGAAACTATACAGTTAGTGAAATAATACAATTTATTATGGTATAATTATGTTAAATAACTAGAAAACCTAACAATTTAATAAATATTATCTCATAAGTTGTACATTTTTCACTTCATAACATACTATCTATTAGAGTAAAACTACATACATGAAACATAAACTACGATATTGCCTGCAAAGTAGAAGCCTTGATTATCATTACTGTTAGTAAGATGTCATTTACTTTCTCAGCAAGGAATTACCTAGCCATTGACACCATAAAACACTAAGGTAATTTTATAGAGGAGAAAATGGGCACAGCAGAGTTAATCTGTTTCAAGACTGTATAGCTAATCTAGAATCAGTAAGGTTTGTCTGACTTTGAAGTGGAAGAAACAAAACCAACAAAAATGACAAAGTGCTTTCTAAAACTCAAGTTGTTGTTTTTTTGTTTTGTTTTGTTTTGTTTTGTTTTGTTTTGTTTTGAGACAAGGTTTCTCTGTGTAACATTCCTAGCTGTCCTGGAACTCACTTTGTGAACCAAGCTGGCCTTGAACTCACAGAGATCTGCCTGCCTGTGCCTCCCAAGTGCTAGGATTAAAGGTGTACACCATCACTGCCTGGCCCTAAAACTCAAGATACTTCAAGTTTCCTGTAAAGGTCCAGGAAGCATCTGTTTTAGGGTTATGGGCCATGTAGCTACCAACAATACATCAATTAACAGATAGGTCTGTGTCCCAATAAAATGTCAATGATGTGCACTGAGTCTTGAGTTTCCTATCATTTCACATGTCAAGATGTACTACACTTTAAACTATGTAAAAACCACTCTGAGTTCACTAGACATACTGGAAGTGAGCCAGGCTTAGCCACTGGGCTATATACTAGCTAAGTCTTTAACTGAAAAGTTAACTATTGTTAAATATGCACAACATGCCACTACACAACATACATATTTAATCAGTCCCAGTAAGTACACTGTATATTATTTGCACATCACACATATCAATATTCACACATATCAAGGCTGCAGTACCTTTTCTCTCCTACCACTTTTAGCTTGCTCATCTTGAGTTACTTCATTCCAGCATTGCAGATAATCTGAAAGAAAAATGTTAATACTATCAGGCGCCTAACACAATTCTGTTTTCTATGCATCAGGCGTTATAAAAGCCATGTAACTGGGAGGTTATAACACTGGAAAACAAGGAAGCAAGTCTATGTAGCCGAGTCCATCACTGCAGTTGCCATATATAACTACTAAGGTATCTAAAAGCAGCACAGAAAACGTTATCAAAACTACAAAAACTGCTACAAAAATGCAGAAACCAAACATCACATTTATATAGTAGTTTGAATCAAAGTGTACCCACAGGCTCATGCATTTGAACACTTGGTCCCCAGCTGTAGCACTGTTTCAGGAGGTTATGGACCCTTTAGGAGGTACAACCTTGATGAAGGAATTATGTGGGGAAGGGGGTGGCTATAACTCTGTCCTACTTCCTGTTCCTTGTTCCCTCTCCTCTTCCCCTCTTCTGCCAGCTTCCTGCTTCAGCCTGCATGCCCTCTAGATAGCTAACTATATGAATTCAGAGTAACTTTTTCCAATTTCCAGGATAAATAAGACAGTACACACCCAAAGGTGGCAGAAAGCCTCATATGGGCTTTCAAAATCACTGTGGCCTCATTCACAAGGGCTCTCCTTTCCAGTTTAAAGCTGGCCGCAGTGACACACCCACAATCACAGTGCTCAAGAGATGGAAGCAGGAGGAGTGGGGTTCAAGACCACTGTTATATAAAGGGGTCACAGTCAGCCTGCGCCACCAGACCTAGCCTCAAACAAACAGAAACCACCCAGGGCTGGAAGGTGTGGCTCCAGAAACTCCAGACCTAGAGTGCACAAAGCAAGCTAACCAGGTGAGCCTGCAATCCCAGCACTCAGCAGGTGGGCAGAAAACCCCGCCTCTAAAGCAATAAGCAAAGGATTCCTTACACTGTGTTAGCAGCACGTCCTATGAAAGGTTAACTGTGGTGATATTTTGTGTATGCTCTAACAATAAAGCTTGCCTGAGTATCAGAGGACAAAGCAAGTCACTAGTTAGCCATAGAGGCCAGGCAGTGGTGTCACACACCACTTTAATCCCAGGACTTGGGAGATAGAGACAGGAAGTGGTGTGGCTGGGCGGAGAAAGGAATATAAGGCAGGAGGAGACAGGAGTCAGTCCCCTTTCAGCTGAGGATTTTGAAGAGATAAGAACTAGTGGCTGGCTGTTCTGCTTCTCTGGTTTTTCAGCTTTCACCCTGATATCTGGCTCTGGGTTTTTATTAATAAGATTAAAATTCGTGCTACATCTAACCATATGTTTTTGTTTTTGTTTTTCATTTTTCCTGAGATGAAGTTCCCATTAAGCAGTCCAGGTGGCCTGGACCTCCAACCTCCTGGCTCACCCAAAGGCTGGGTAGGATTCACATGTGCATTCCACACATCACTCTTACTGTGAACCTGGACTTGGAGGTCTTCATAAAGAGGGGCACAAAGACTGAGAACTGAGGATGATATCAAGGAAACTGCTTTTATTTTCTGGACACAACAGGGCAGTTGTACATACGAACTCAAAACCATTGTGACAGTGTGCACAAGGCCTGCACAAGCTCCAGCCAAAGAAAACTGCAGCATAGACAGGGAAGTAGCCATAGAGTCCCACCACTAGCCGTGATCGGATCTCAATGGCATTTGATAGCCGCTGGGAGAGGGAGAGTCAGCTGTCTTTAATGCTGTGACCCTCACAGCTCAATCACATGCCTGGGTAACTGATCAACACAAACTGGACTCAATGGGGAAGGGAGGGGGGATTTCAAAACTGGATGGGAAGGGATGGAAGAGTAGAGAGGGTGGTTACAGGAAGGGTTGGGAGAGGGTATTAATATGTTCAAAATACATGGTATGAAATTCTCAAAGAATAAAATATTATTCAGGCCAGGCATGGTGGTGCACACCTTTAATCCCAGCACTCAGGAGGCAGAGGCAGGCAGATCTCTGAGAGTTCAAGGCCAGCCTGTTCTCAGAGTGAGATCCAGGACAGCCAGAGCTACATAGTGAGACTCTGTCTCAAAAACAAAACAAACAAAAAACAAAATTGTAAAAATATTATTCAAAAAAAGATTCAAATTGACAGTTTACAATAAAATACCTAAATTCAGGCATGTCTCTGCTCTCCTTATTAGGCTGTAAAGAAACAAAGTTATGTTGTTTCAAGACAAAAAGAAAACTAAGAGGAGAAAGAGACTGGGTAGTCTGCCCAGAAGAGGCCTGGGTAGTCTGCCCAGAAGAGGCCGGAACTGGGGACCAGTGATTCCACAATGTCAGTGATAGCTAAACTAGCCGCACAAACTGTCTGTCTCCCATACCGTCATGCCCACTATTGTGGAAAAAGCTTAATAACCAGGCATCCAACCCAGGCAAACTTCATTGAAGACACTGATACCTCAAGCAATTCTGCTTTTAGGGACTTAAAAGTCCCAGGCAAAAAGACCAGATCTCAAGACTATGCTCCCGTGTATTTCTTACACTCCACTTTTTCTTTTTTATTTTCATTTTTATTTTTCATGCCAACCACAGTTTCCCCTCCTTCCTCTCCTCCCAGTTCCTCCCCCCACCAACCTCCCCTCTGCCTCACCCCCCCATTACATTCCTCCTCCATTTCTATTCAGAAAAGGGCAGCCCTCCCATGGATAGTGACACAACATGGCATTATCAAGTTGTAGTGAAACTAGGCCCCTTACCCTGTATTGATGCTAAACCTAAGGCCACAGCATGTCAGGTCAACAAAGGGAAGCCTTACTGTAGAAGTCTGCGCTCATTACGGGTGTCTGGGAAGAGCTGCACTGACCCAAGCACAGCAGTGCCAGAGCTGTGCCAATGCAAGAGAGGACCTAACCCAGAAGGCACACTAAACGACGACGACTCTAACGGGCCAGGGGTGAAGTTACCCTATGTGTCCTTTTCTTTCCACCACCATAAAGTCATGCTAGTTCTGTCCTAGGGGAAACAACTTCCATTCTGCTATTGCTGCAATCCCACTCCTGCCCGACTCCTCTCCCCCAAAAGCCGTGTTAAGATAGTCAACAAGTCCTCCCTTCCCACTCTTCCCAACACATTCCAGCCGTGCTTCCTCTTCCACACTTGTCAGCACCTCGTTACTAAATACACCTGTTTATTACCAGTCAGCTCACAGCCTCCTCACACAGGTCAAGGCCCTCACAGAAGCACTGCCACACGCTGGCTTTCTGCCCAGCCTTTGCTGGAAGCATGGGACTTGCATGTTGCTACTTTCTTCCAACCCTAGACTTAGTCATTTCATCTAGCTTCAGAACCAAACATCTCCCTTGCATTAAGATCACAGATAACAAATGCACCAGCCTTCCTTCTCACCTGTGTCTGCTGTAAACTACTCACTCTCGTCCAGCTGCTCTGCCCTCAATTTTGGTTTCAGCCTTTTCTGGTCTCCACATCCTTTCCCCATACCCAATTCATCAGAAAGTTGAGGTAATTCTCTACAGAGGGCAGGCCAGATGTCGCAATAGACAAAGGCACCTGCCACCAAGCCTGACAACCTGAGCCCATTGACAAGGGTTCACATGGAGAAGAGATCTGACTTCAGTTGTCCTCCGACCTGTCTATTGTAGGAAATAAGTTAACAAAAATAAATAATGTTTAAAACACACACACAAATACACATACACACACATCCAATCATCCTATGCCCTACTCTCACTAGTCTTTACATTCTAACCCCTACAGCTTATTCCAAACACAACACCCTGAGTGACACTTTTAAAACTCTATAGGGAATGGGCAACCACAGGTAGAAGTCCAGCCACCACTCAACTTAAAGCCCTACAATATTTTCCATTTCAATGACACTCAAGTCCCTAAGGGAACATCCCTAGCTATTTCCTCCCTGGTTTTCCTCTCACACACCAGGGTCAGTCACCTCAATACCCTTGCTTAAACTGTTCTTCCACCACACAGCTCATGACTGTCGGCTCAAATCCATTTTTTCAGTAGAGTCCATCTCAAGCATCCTATTTAACACCCCAGCTTCCTCTAGACCCTAGCCTGTGTCTGTTTCTATAACACTTACTGCCTTCTAATGCAGCATAATTCAAAAGTAAATGAAGACTAAGTCATGTATGTTGGCTTACACTTGTAATCCCAGCACTGGGAGGCTGAAGTAGAAGGAATACTGAGTTCCTGGGCTACATTGTGAGGTCCAATCCACACACCCTACCCTCAACACACACACAGCAAACAAACCACATGCTGCTATGGCCTGAATGGTGGTGTGACCACCAAGGTGACAGCAATGGGGAAACATCCTTCTGAAACAAAATGAGGTCATGAGGGTAAGCCCCTCAAGCACGGTGGTTAGTATCCTCGTTAAAATGTGTGTGTGTGTGTGTGTGTGTTTAAAAAAATAAACTGGCTTGTTTATTCACCAGCTACAGAAACTGCCAACGCCTTGTGAACCTCCCAGCTTTCAAACTATGAGCAAAAATGTATGCTGTTAAAAGTTACCCAGTTGCCGGGCGGTGGTGGTGCACGCCTTTAATCCCAGCACTCAAGAGGCAGAGCCAGGCGGATCTCTGTGAGTTCGAGGCCAGCCTGGTCTACAGCGCGAGATCCAGGACAGGCACCAAAGCTACACAGAGAAACCCTGTCTTGAAAAAAAACAAACAAAACAAAACAAAAAAAAGCTACCCAGTTTATGGAAGTTTGTTACAGAAGCCCGAATGGAACAACAATTTGTTTTTATTTTAAAACTTTTAAATTAGCATACACGGTATTAGGTTTCATCCTGGCATTTTTAAACAAAATTTGTTTGTTTAAAAATTGTTTAAAAACTCTCCTCCCTCACCCCTTCTCCCTATGCACACCCCTGTACCCTTCCCCCCATCCACAGCTCCTTTCCTCCTTCATATGTGTCTTACTGCCTCCTTGAGACCACCCCCATTGTCATCTCCTTTCTAGTCTCCTGGCCTATGCCCACTTGGACCCCATTTACACCCACACAGACAAGAATAACACGCTAGGGTTTCCA